TACCTGATATATATCTTAATCATGTTCATCCCGTACAACATAATCACGTAAACTTTCTGGAACGTTTTCATTTGCATTTTCTAATATAAGTGCAGTGATTGTTTTGTAAAGTTACAACACTATCTTCTTTATTATCTTCAATCCAATGAATTCCAATGGTTGTATTGTCAATGTTATACAAAGACAGGACGGGGTATCGGAATAATGATCTGATGTAAAAATTTCTAGATACCTGCGAATGATCTGGAAATTGCGTAGTTACCCGTGTTTAAATTTCCGATCACTTTCACGGTTTTTTGTGAATACATAGTCTTTTAACCAGCACCATTGGCACAGTAAAAAGGAAAAGTGCCATTCTTGTCATTAACATGCCTGCCATGTTTTACATAGAATTAGTAAGTTCCTGCCTAATTGATTTACATTCTACCTTATTACATGTTGTCACATAGATGGGGTTCAGTGTCGGGTAGGTAGTTCATAGTATTGGACAATAACTAGATTGAACCTTAATTCAGTTGATCATTTAGTATAACATCATCAGAAATACCAATTCTGCTATTGTAGTATCCGATGACGATCACGTAGATGGGGTTCAGTGTCGGGTAGGTAGTTCATAGTATTGGACAATAACTAGATTGAATCTTCATTCAGTTGATCATTTAGTATAACATCATCAGAAATACCAATTCTGCTATTGTAGTATCCGGTGACGATCACGTAGATGGGGTTCAGTGTCGGGTAGGTAGTTCATAGTATTGGACAATAACTAGATTGAAACTTCATTCAGTTGATCATTTAGTATAACATCATCAGAAATACCAATTCTGCTATTGTAGTATCCGGTGACGATAAACTTACCATATCCCACGTGGAAGTTACAATTATCACAAGTGTTTTTCACAGTTATCACAGGCAAGGCGTGATATAGGACAAAGGTGGAGAAACATCTGCGCGGTAATTACAGTTATGTTTAAAATTGTGCTGTTTTATATATCATTACCCTCAGAGAGTTCCAAATCAATTTCAACATTTCCACACCCAATTATTATTCACACATTATATGGAGAGTTTCACCTACGTTATATTGCACGGGAATTTAAATGTCAGTGTCGAAGTCAGTGACGTGGTTGTACACGCACCATATTTATTTGGAAGATTTCGTTACTCACAATACATATTTACATATAACACATATGCATACTTCTATTAGGATGAAACATTCAACAATGAAAACATTTATTGATTATTGATATTTATCAAAGTTCAGCGATAGTCTTGCTATCCAGTAGATTTTGGTTTTAATGAAAGTGTGCATCTTTGTCAAGCAAAAATAAGTTTCATGGTTCTGAATATTTTTTTTTATTTACAAAGGGACGTAATGAACTATGCATATTTTCGTGGATGATGTCAAATTGTAAGGTAATGAACTATACAAATTTCCATAGATGATGTCAAATTGTAACTAATTTAAAATCAATTTTATACAAAGGGACGAATGAGCTATTAAAAGTTAAGACATAAGTTAATCAAATTATATCTTAACTTTTAATAGCTGACACTTTCTATATTAAGATCATTGGGAGACATTCTAATTCTGGTAAGTTCTCTTTGAAATCAACTGTTATATACTTAGGTAATGTAAATTTGTAAAGTTAAAACATTTGTGAAGTATTGAAAAATATATATTTTGGGAATGACGTTATAGTTTCTTGATATTTCTGTTGAAGACTTTCGCATAATCTGTCATTGATTGTATTAAAACAAGTGTTGTCGACAATATCTGACTCCCAGATATAACCAAGTCAAATATTATACGATTCTTTTCTAACATTTAATAACCATGTATCGTCTTTCTCCAACATATGATTAAAACATGATAAAATACAGTTGTCTGTATGCCTCAATTTTATCCGATATTTAGAAATGCAAAATATTGTGATTGTACTAAAAGGATATCGTCACAATATAATATCGTATAGATAAAGCTGTTGCATATACCTTTTAATACCTATGATATTATTACAAAAACTGATATGCAATTTCTCCACGTCGGGCGCTTGATGGAATGCCCAAATTTCAGAGGCATGGTTTACAACGCTACATACAAATTAGTCAACAACAGATATTTTTTTTTCAATATTAATGTAGCTATCTATCTCTACATACTTTAGAAGTAGCACAGAAGGCTGTCATGCCTTGATCCGCGACCCTTTTCTGGGTTTGTCTAGAGTTACCATTGCAATTCATCAGCATGCCTAAATAATTAAACTCATTAAATATTTCTATCTTTTCACCATTATAAAACCATTCTTCATTCTCTCTAAGAATTCCACCATGTCTGAAAACTACAGCTTTGGTTCTATCGGTATTGACCGTTAAGGCCCACTTACGTGTGCAAGTTAGTAGGGCTCTACTTCTGTAGACCTACTCGGGATTCAGCCAAAATATCAGTATCATTATCGTTATCAACAGTTGTCACTAATTGCATTTCAAAATCGTGAACATATATAGAGTATAAAATTGGGAATCGACGTCTCCCTGAAATAATTCGTTCTTACATTCTAAGAATTCTTAATTCAATCCATTGTATTTTAAACAGATTCTGAAATTTCCATATAATAATGATCTAATTAGTGTTAGCATTTTCTCTCCTGTACCTTCTATGATTGATTTAAACCATAGATATTTTCTATTTATTAAATTGAAAGCTTTCCGTTTATCTATTAAGCAGCAATACAATTGTTTCTTACTTTTAAATGTTTTATTAATTATAATTTGTAAAGCGGATATAGCATCCACAGGGAATAAGTCTTTGCGGAAACAAAAATAAGCACCTTTTATAATACTGTATTTTTATCGAATGATAATAAAAGACAGTTATCGATGTAAAAAGTTTTCCAAGACAGCTTACTAAAGTAACACCTATGTAATAATTAGAATCCTTTATTATCCTTTTTATAGACTGGCAGAATACTTCAAATTGTCCATGGAAAATGACCAGAATTAAAGACATTGTTAAAACGTTTATGCAGACCCGGAGCTAAAACATTATTTAACATGCCATCCAAGCCACACGCCTAACTAGAACTAAAGTTATTGATAGCTGAAACAATTTCATCATTACTTACCTGATATATATCTTAATCATGTTCATCCCGTACAACATAATGACGTAAACTTTCTGGAACGTTTTCCTTTGCATTTTCTAATATAAGTGCAGTGATTGTTTTGTAAAGTTACAACACTATCTTCTTTATTATCTTCAATCCAATGAATTCCAATGGTTGTATTGTCAATGTTATACAAAGACAGGACGGGGTATCGGAATAATGATCTGATGTAAAAATTTCTAGATACCTGCGAATGATCTGGAAATTGCGTAGTTACCCGTGTTTAAATTTCCGATCACTTTCACGGTTTTTTGTGAATACATAGTCTTTTAACCAGCACCATTGGCACAGTAAAAAGGAAAAGTGTCATTCTTGTCATTAACATGCCTGCCATGTTTTACATAGAATTAGTAAGTTCCTGCCTAATTGATTTACATTCTACCTTATTACATGTTGTCACATAGATGGGGTTCAGTGTCGGGTAGGTAGTTCCTAGTATTGGACAATAACTAGATTGAAACTTCATTCAGTTGATCATTTAGTATAACATCATCAGAAATACCAATTCTGCTATTGTAGTATCCGGTGACGATCACGTAGATGGGGTTCAGTGTCGGGTAGGTAGTTCATAGTATTGGACAATAACTAGATTGAAACTTCATTCAGTTGATCATTTAGTATAACATCATCAGAAATACCAATTCTGCTATTGTAGTATCCGGTGACGATCACGTAGATGGGGTTCAGTGTCGGGTAGGTAGTTCATAGTATTGGACAATAACTAGATTGAAACTTCATTCAGTTGATCATTTAGTATAACATCATCAGAAATACCAATTCTGCTATTGTAGTATCCGGTGACGATAAACTTACCATATCCCACGTGGAAGTTACAATTATCACAAGTGTTTTTCACAGTTGTCACAGGCATGGCGTGATATAGGACAAAGGTGGAGAAACATCTGCGCGGTAATTACAGTTATGACCAGATGCTTACTGATTATCATTGCTATGTCATAATAGAACACCTGAACATATTTCAAATGCTAGTCTCTGCTAACCAGATGTATGAGAGTATGAAATCAATGGTTTAATTGAACGATAAAAACGAACACTGGTTATAATACATTATTGATGTAGCTGCTGATGCCGTATATAGATAGAAGTTTATCTCCTAAGCATGTACCTGTATCATTACTTATAAAGTGTTTGTTTACTAGTTACAACAATAAAAACAACAACCATAAATGTTCTAAAACGCAGTATAAAAACATCAATATCTGAGCCAGCAGTTATTGGGAGGAATGAAGGTCTTCAGAGAAAAATGACCGGAACACCAATGGCAACTATCGCATGTGAATATCTAACAATAAATCTCCGCCATTTGAAATACAAATATAAACGACAAATAGAAAAAGAAGTTTTGTTTTGGTTTAATGGTTCCTTAATAATCCGTTGGAAGAAAAAAGCAGTATCACAACAGTCAAATGTCTTGGTTAAGTCAAACTTGGAATCAATTTCCATATGTTCTATAGTACTTCATACTTTTGAATTTGTATACTTTCAAATGGGATAATAACTGACAGCAATGGTTATTATATAAGACTATATAAGTCTACTTAATTTTCGTATCGTCAGGTTTCAAGCTACTAAGCATACAAAATGCCCCGTGTTTTCAACCACCTGTTAAATTTTGGAATCATCGAGGCATCTACAACTTCAGTAACAATAAGGGGACTCATATAACTTTTCAGTAATGTTTCGTCGCCGACATCGTACGGATAACTTAACTAAACTTTAGATACGCAATCTTGTTATGATACACAACAAAAAGAAGAAGAGGAAAAAGAAGAAAACACGAACAACATATAAAGTGATGTAAAACATTACCCAGCCATGATCGGAAATAGCACAAGATCGGGATGGCTAGCAATCGTGTCCGTGGACAACAACGAGTCGGAACCAGCATACTCAATATCAATGTTTTCCTTTATAGCTTCCTTTCCCTTCCCACTTCCAACGGCTTCGTAAGGCATATCCAGGTTGACATGCGCATTCCTGTAGAGGCGATAAGCCGATCTCCATTCTTTGTAAACTTCATGGGGAAAGCTTGCCCCCCTTCCACGGACGTACACAACACCTGCCACATATTTATACAAGCACAAGCACATCCATACATAAACCTTTACTCGTGAGCAATCCATATCCAGACATTAGTTTTTTTCTATATCTAATCTGAAAGCGATTTCCAATATGAAATATCCCGAAGTTATTCAGCGTTGTGTAATTATTAACTATCCCTGGTGATACAGAGATGATGGTTCATTAACCTTGAGGTTAATCCGAGTAGTATCTCTGTTTCGTAAGTTCGCCTATCTGATAACGATACTTAAACGGCTTTTTAATACAAAACATAAATAATCCTAAGCTCGGGATGATGCTAGTCAGATATACGATCCCACAGTCAAAACAGCAAATAATGAATTCCGCTGAAATATGTGGTAGATAGAAGTGCAAGGTAGCGATGTAGTCTCTAATAAGAAGGTAACTCGTTCTGCCGTGAGTTGAGATCTGAATCGCTAATAAGGTTTTACCATTGTAGCGTCAATGCTTGCTCAAGTGATACATTAATGATTGATTATTGCCTCCAATAGCGTGTATGGATATCACACGTGACATTAGCTGACAGATCATTGTTCCGTGAACGTCCATTATGATGTCGTTCATACATTAAAAACAAACTCTTTACATACTCGTGTTATCCTACTGGAAACTGAAACAAATTCGTGTGAAGCTTGCAATCGCTAATTTGAAATTACATGCAATTCAACGGACGAGATGTAATGTAGAATATCGTTGTTAGAATTTTCTCTCTATGATCCTGGTCCTTAAAGACTAGACGATACCACAAAGTGAGATTTGACAATGAAATTTACCTATTACAATTAACTTAAATTAAACTTTTCAAAATGAAACGAAGGAAAATTACGAAATCAATCAGAGAGACACATACAAATTAGAATTAGCTCTTACGCTCTAACATGTACAAACCATTAGGTATTTGTGTTCTAATACTTAGGAATTGTTTGGTATTACGATGAGTATGGACTGTCTTAATGAAAGTATTTAAACATGCATTATGAAAATTAAAATACTGAGAATTGATACATTCTTCCTTATTTAAACAGCAACAGATATGAAGTAGAACAAAGAAATTTCAACATGAGATGTTAAATAAGCAAAGGTGACAAATCTGTAATAAAAAAAACAAAACAATCAAATAATATTATTGTTCACGACAAAACGAACCAATCAGATCTTTCCAAATTTTATTCCATTCTTTGTTTATAAAGCGAAGAAACTTCCGTTTCGATACATTTGACGTCAATGTTTACAACGTCATAATCTAAAGATTCATAGCTAGTTTACCTTCTGTTACATTACTGGGGATATATACATAAGATGGGATGTATATAACTTGTGCAGTGATACCCTGTTCATCTAAAAGATGAAATGAACATAATATTGAATCTAGTGTGACCGGTTTCTATGGATTGTAAGGCAGAGATACTGCCAGATACAATAACAGCCCTGTCTGGTTGGTATGATCATTAAGCCATAACGCAAAGGGAATATTACTCAAAATCAGCTTGAAATCCTTTGGATAACAAGACCATATGACAATGGAAAGATACGGTCACCACTAATTACCCGGATGCCTTAACCAAGATTTCCACATAAATTCTCTAATTATTTCCGGCTAAAATGGCATTTTCTTGGTGTATAAAGCCTGTAAAAGTTCCACGAATTGAATGAATTTGGTCAAAGGTAACGAAATGGTATTCGCGATTACACAGATATAGCAAATTGAAGTTGTTTGGCCTTCGCCTGCTCGACCAATTTACTACACAATCTAGGGTACGCGGTAGAGCACTTACAGGGAGTGCACGTAGGCAATGGCTGAAAATGTAACCGTATACTAGAAACATCAGATACGATATTGCAATTATTGAAACTCAATTTTCTACATTCTCCACACTGCACTACTCAATTGCTGGTTGTCGTACATATATAATGGAATAGAATCCCCTGTGACCGGCAACTTCTGACTTGTACCCGAATAACAGGCAGATACGCTTTACAAAGATCAACTATGGCGAGAAAGCATGCCAGTGGTATATGTACAGCAGCTAATCTAAATTAAGTCCATATAAGTATATCAAGTGCCGGAATGAATACATTTAGGTCTGTTGGCATCATATGCGGGGCGAAAGTTACCTGAAGATTTAAGATAACAAGAAGTTCATTATTCAAGGTTATACATCTGTAACAATATAGCCTAGTGTTAATCTCGTATCACGTTTTCCTAAAAATCAAAGCATTAGGGATATGATGCATAGTTTTCCATCTAAACCTATATAAAAACAGTGTCTTGATCACTACCAATACCGTCCCATTGTCAAATTCCTGGTCGTGATCATCCTACAGCAAAAGCTCTCTCCAGCTGTCTTACTTAAGGCCAGATTTAGAATGCTAACGTCTGTTTCTGATGCGTCGTTGGACAGTTTGGTTTTTGTTTTTGTTTTTTCTTAGACGCAGTGTTTGTTTTCTAGAGGTGATACGCAACTCATAAACTACAATGATACGCCAGACTGTATGTAAAAGTGTACAGTTTACCGTTAGTGGGGAAAAGGACCCTTATGCCAAGAATGGAATAGAAACCCCGCAAATTTATTATTCCCAACGAAATTACGCCGTGTATCCGTGGCAGAAACGAAAATAGTTTTAGACACATTTAGGAGGAAGGTCATGAAACCCTTAAATGTCGATAAAATGCCTTCTGTTCGACTGACATTGTAAACATCAGTACATGATTGGCTATATAACTTCATGCGATCAATACTGATAGTGACGGTGTCTCTTTTTCAGTGGTTTGTCCTTCTCACACAAAATCCTTAATATGATTGATCTTTTGTAGAACTAGTGGTAACAATTTTTTGTTTAACTAGAAAAAAATGTCCTAGTTTTAGCTTCTCTCTACTTGGTGGTGGACTTCAAGGGTTAGCTTGGATACAACGGAATTCCCTCCCTTTATATGTGTAGAGTGTTTCGTCTCGTTGTACGTACATCAATGTGAGTAGTTTTTTTTTACTTCCTTGTGTAATTGTTTATTTTACTCTCTATCTGTGATAATAAATAGGGTATCGATCTTAGAGGGAAGTACGAAGCTCTCAGCCATCGATTCTTCTTCATAACTTTGAAATAAATTCATGCCAGGTTATCAGTATCAATAAAATGAAGGAAATGATTCTTATTTTAGCGATTTATTATTATGATAATTTGTTTATTCCATATAGATTTTCAAGGTTTATCTCTATTGCGTTCCTATAGAATTTCTGTATATTACATAATAAGTAAAATCTTTGTACAATGACCTCTTGTTATATGCAATTATCGTGTCTGGGTGCGAGTAAACTTTTGATCTGAATTAGAATTATTGCTGTTCATAAAGACAATTGCCATGCCAGCTCTGGTCATCGGTGCAACTTGAGCAACTACATATTTGGCAAATTGATACATGAATTTCCTCGGCCGTAAGATATACATGTTTCCAAAGCGGGCATGATTACTAACAGGCAATATCTGACAGAGAAGAGTTCCTAGCCAAGCAAAACTAAGATACTGGTGACAATAGCTAAGTAGGGTTAGATAAAATTCAATCTATTCTGAAATGTCAGGTTATGTGGCACAACTCCACGAATACCCCAACAATAAAACACGGGAGGGCTTAAATAACAATTTTTGCACAAATTAGCGATTTAGATTGATTGGTTGATCGGAAAATAAACAAAACAGCGAATTTGCTAATGACAAAATGGAAGTCATGACGGTAATGGTTTTGTGTGGTAGTGAGTAAATCGATCGATTCACAACAAACACAAAATAGCCATCAATAATTGAGTAAGTCAAATAATCTGATATGTTTGTTTTGTAAAATCGTATATGTTTTATTGCAAAATGTTCGTATTATAAATTATTCATCATTGTGTTTACATTTACACCTCAGTATTTTGTCTGGGCCGGATATTGCCTTACACAATGTAAAAAATATGGGACGTTTTTTTCATATCTGTTACTATAATTAATATATTTTATAAGCCGTTGTTTGGGATGATTCAATGAACTAATAATGTCTTTAAGTGTAATCGATACATTGTTTAGGAATAAGCCCCATTGTTTTCAATTGTACAATTTACCGGCATATTGTACAGATATCGCATTTTCTAATCTCTACTTACCTTATATTATACGAGAGAAGAGGGCGGAAGAAGTTTATTTTTTGTTATAACTGTGACAATTTAATTGATGTTGACATCATTATATAGGTTAGTTTGAGATTCACTAGATATATCGTGTCCGAAACCATCTGACCGCAACGAAACATGTCAACAGAGTCATTATTCAAACAGAAGAATTTATAAAACTAGGACTACTTCATCGACGACACCCGCGTCTTTATCAATCCAAGTAAGTAATGTCACGTTCTCAAATGAAAACAAGGAATACTACAATGGACCCAATAGGCAAACGAACAGGCATCAAACACGTCCAGCTTCTTATCGCACAAACAAATAGAATATTTGTCAATAAGATCACTATATGACGTCCGTAAAAATTCCCCGTAATTTTCATCAACCTGCATCATTTGAAATCCGGTGTAACGATTTTGTCCGTCAGCTAACGACTTTTTGCATGAAATCGTGATAATAGGAACAAGCCCTCGAATACCATTTATTGGAGATGTAGGGATAGTGTTATCCAGAAATGGAAAATTTACAATAGGGATCCTTAAATCATCACGTTTATCATACAGCTTTATGGATTGCAGCTGAAGTAGTGGTTCTGTTGATACTTTGATTTCCAATTCTGGATGGATATATACGACCGACGTGATATATAAACCTTTTGTTATTTAAAGAAAAGACATTATCAATATATCTTAAAGTGATATAAGACAACATTGCAAGGTTTTTTGAGCTGTTTGGATACATACAATCTTCGACACATTCAGTTTCACATGTAAACCAAAGCAAGTCAGCCAAGAAAGGAGCACAATTAGTTTGCCAGTAGTCTGCTGGACGATCTTACGAACAAACTCAACGAAGATGTTTTCAACCAGAAACTCAATCATTTGCTTCAGTAA